ATTATTTATATGAATAACTTTTTACACTTTAATACAATTAAAAATGAACAGTTATATATACTCAAACGAAAAGTAGATTTGCATGCCAGCTATTGAATTGGGAAACGAGAAATCCCATAGTAAAATCTCACCACACTCATCAAAGGCTATCTCAGAGTCTGAAAGCCTGTCTTATCCACCAGGCTTTGGCCCAATTCAAATCATGGACCAAGACACCCATAAAAATGTGGAGACCATGGGCTACTCATTAAGTTGCAAAAGTAAGGAAGAACAACAAAAGACTCTTCGGACTCAAAAAATCAACCGAAGTAGCAATGGCTCTAAATTAGAAGATGGTCCAGCTCAAATAAGGAAAGAAGGAGCTACAGATCTGAGGTTAGCTAGCGGAGACAGTGAGAGGAGATGCATGTACGAACAGGAAGAGGAGACACACAGCACTCAACCTTTTTGGGAAGGCCTAGCCAGCGAAGATGAAATTCTACAATCAAGGACTGAAAGACTCGCTAGAAAATTGAGGAAAAAAGGAAAGAAAATCAAAAGGAAAACAATTATTGTAGCTAAAGAACTCCAGTGCAAACAGAGGATCCAGAAGAAGCCTACATCGCAAAGGGAGAATGAACAGTCAAAACAGGACTTGGTTAACAAAGCAACCGTGGATATGAGAAAGAAGAGAAGCGAGAGACAGGTAGCAGAAGAAATGCGGGCGATAAGACAACGGTTGGGTTTGGTGGAAGAAAATGACACAGAGGAAACTATCAGAAGATTAATGGAGATGGAAAGAAGGGATAGAATCAACATAGCTCAGCAAGAATTGAAAAAGAAAACAGATGGGGAAGAAAAAGTGTTCCAACCATAAAGATCATCTCAATTAATATAAGAGGATTGGGGGGAAGCAATAAAAGAAGGGGGTTGAGAGAATTAATAAGGAAAAGGCAGACATGGTTTTTATTCAAGAATCCAAGCTTGAGGTGTGTGAATCTAGAACCTGTAGATCAATTTGGGGTTCAGAAAATTGCGAATAGGTGGCAAAACCGGCAGTAGGAAGGTCTGGAGGTATTTTGTGTATTTGGAACCCAAATATATTTGAACTCAAGAAAAAACTTGAAGATAGTGGTTTTTGTGGCATGCTGGGATTTTGGGGAAAAGGAAAAATCCCTTGTTTTTTCATAAATATATACTCCCCTTGCGATAAACAGGGGAAACGCAAGTTATGGGAGGAACTATTGTGCTTAATCAAAGAATACGGTGGAGGATGTTGGTGCATGGGGGGTGACTTTAACACAGTCAGAGGTACAGATGAAAGAAAAGGTAGAAGCTATGATGCAACTGAGGCAAGAGAGTTCAACAAATTCATCGTAGAAGCTGGACTAGAAGATATTCCAATGGCTGGAAGGAAATACACCTGGTACAAGTCGGATGGCTCAGCCATGAGCAGGTTAGACAGGTTCTTGTTATCCTCTGAATTTATAATTAATTTCCCAGATGTAATCTAGAAAGGGCTCAAGAGAGACATCTCTGATCATTGTCCTATACTGCTAAAGCAATCGTATATTGATTGGGGGCCAAAGCCATTTAGATGCCTCGATAGCTGGCTAAGTCATGAAGGCTTTGAGACTTTTGTTCAAGAAAAGTGGCGCAGCTACCACATAGAAGGCAAGAGGTGTTTCTGCTTGAAAGAGAAATTAAAAAATTTGAAAAGGGACTTGAAGCAGTGGAACAAGGAAATATATGGGAATATTGACAAAAACATTGAGGCAGCTAGAGAGGTTATCAAGACTATAGATGAGAAAGGGGAGACGACAGATCTCACTGAATTGGAAGTGGAGCAAAGAAAGGAAGGCTCCCACCATTTATGGGAATGGCTTAAGGCAAAAGATAGCCTATTATGCCAGAAATCAAGACAAAAATGGATTAAGGAAGGGGATGCAAACAGCAAGTTTTTTCATGGGTGTGTGATAAAAAAAAGGAGGCAAAATGGAATAGATGGCCTGACAATAAATGGTGAATGGATAGAAGATGCAGGAGCGGTTAAACACTTTATTAAAGAATTTTTTAGAAGAAAGTTTGAAGAAGAGCAGTGGAATAGACCGGGGTTGGAATTGAATAATCTTAGGCGGTTGAGCATAGAGGAAAATGCCATGCTAATTGCTACATTCTCAGAGGAGGAAATTCGTGAAGCTGTAATGGAAGCAAGAGCCCTGGTCTAGATGGTTTGAACTTTAACTTCATTAAAAGTATGTGGCCAGTCCTAAAGAAAAATATTTGCGAATTTATATCAGAATTTCACTCTAATGGGAAGTTAGTGAAAGGTAGCAATGCCTCTTTTATAGTGTTGATTCCCAAAAAGGAGAACCCACTGGGCTTAGCAGATTATCGGCCAATTTCCCTTATTGGATGCATGTATAAAATTTTGGCAAAGCTCTTAGCTAACAGAATGAGGTGCGTGATGAAATCTATTATCAATCCAAATCAGTCAGCCTTCATAGAAGGCAGGCAAATTGTAGATGGCATCATCACCACTAATGAACTGATCCATGAGACAAAGAAGAGGAGAAGGCCAACTCTAATTTTCAAAGCTGATTTTGAAAAGGCATATGATAGTGTTAACTGGGAATTCTTAGATGTTATGTTGGATAAATTGGGCTTCTGCTTATTATGGAGAACCTGGATTCAAGAATGCCTTGCTTCTGCATCTGTCTCAATACTTGTTAATGGAAGCCCCACAGAGGAGTTCCAAATGACAAAAGGCTTAAGGCAAGGTGACCCCTTAGCTCCATTCCTATTCCTGGTGGTGGCAGAGGCTCTTAATGGCTTAATAAACAAAGCAGTAGAGGAAGGACTGTTAGAAGCAGCTACAGTGGGCTCAGGGGTGGTGCAAATTAGTCACTTACAGTTTACAGATGATACATTGATATTCTGCAAGGCATCCCCAGATAATGCTTGGGCGATAAAGTGCATATTCAGGAGTTTTGAGTTAATCTCAGGTTTAAAGGTGAACTTTTTTAAAAGCTCCCTATCTGGCATTCATGTGAATGATGAGGATCTGTCTGCTATGGCTGATATGCTTAATTGCATGGTGGGAACAATTCCTTTCAAATACCTGGGTGTCCCAGTTGGAGCTAACTCAAGGAAGGTTTCCACTTGGTCTCCTATTGTTGAATGTTTAAGAAAGAGGTTATCATCTTGGCGGTGTGAGACTCTATCCTTCGGTGGGCGTATAATTCTCCTTAATGCTGTCCTCTCGAGTATCCCGGTCTATTACTTCTCAACACTAAAAGGACCCAAAAAGGTAATTAATCTTTTATCCCTTATTCAAAGAAGATTTCTTTGGGGGGGTTGTGAGAAGAAAAATAAGATAGCTTGGGTGGGATGGGACCACGTGTGTAGGACCAAAAATGAGGGTGGCTTAGGGGTAAAGAATTTAGGAACTTTTAACCTGGCACTTCTAGGAAAATGGAGATGGAGGTTATTAGAGGAGAAAGAAGCTTTATGGAGAAGGGTTGTAGAGGCAAAATATAAGGTGAATAGGAAAAATGTATGGCTAGGAGACAAATGGGATGCTGAGTGTTCAGGATGGTGGAAAGACATATGGCAGCTAGATGTCGGACTAAGGGGGAGAGAAGGGTGGTTCAGGAAAGGAGTTAAGAAGGTGGTTGGGGAGGGTAACGACACACTGTTTTGGTATGATAGATGGCTGGGGGAATACCCACTTAAGGATAAATTCAATAGACTATTTAGGCTATCAATGAAGAAGGATGCAATAATATCTGATATGGGGGAGTGGAGAAATGGCGAATGGTGCTGGCATTGGAGCTGGAGAAGAAACCTTTTTGCTTGGGAAAATGCTCTTTTGCAGGAATTAAAAGTGATGTTGCAAGTGAGACAGTTGCAACAAGGACAAACCGATCACTGGGTCTGGCAACACGACTCGAAAAGGAAATATTCGGTGAAATCAGCATACAAGATCTTACAAGACAATCTCATTCCAGGAAAGATTTGCAATTTTAAGCTGATATGGAACAAATGGGTACCTCTA